GCAAACCCAAGATCTGCAGCATCAGTATCATCAGTTTGGTTAATGTCTTTCTTAGCATGACTTACATCTCCACTGACCGATACATCAATTGCTACAGCAACTTGTGAATCACGACCCCGAATGACCGTGTCGATTACATCCCTTAGGTTTAATAAATGTGCCATCCCAAAATCCTCTAACTCCAGTAAAGGCTCACTGGACATAAAACTGCAAATGTACTCAAAACAACCCTTCTCATCTGCGACTTGAGGCGGTCCTGGCACTGCACCCACTGACTTGGCAACCCGGAACAGTTCATCTGCAGAGAGCGAGAGCAGGGTCTTTTTGATGGCCCACACCAACCTTTTCCTCTCACCATCTGCCATAACTGTTTCCCAATTCCTCTCACTTGGTCACAAGAGTCCAGGATCACAATTCACGCTGTGTTCTTAATGAGTGGTGATTTCAGCACTGCATCCACAGTCATTACTTTTTGATCCGTTAGGGGTATCCTCTTCATCAGTAGACAGAATCGACGATATCTGGTGATCTTTTTCACTGGCTGCAGCTCGCTGGTTGCATCGGGTCCATTTTGGTCCAACGTTTCTATATATACTATATATTTTCAAACTTATAGTCTTTACAAAAATGTCGTAGGAGCTAAAAATAAAACTCTGACCGATGTGGTTTCCGTAACAATACGTGACGTAATCAAGCACGGAAATGCGGCTACTACTACATGGATGTATCTGTCCTCATATTCATACAGCTGTCCTATTAGCGAACATTTAAACATTCAACGACATGTCACATATTACAACTCGGTTGCTTAACTTAATTAAGTATTCTACCAACCTGGAAACAGGAGAAATCAATGAGACAGGCAAACTCTGCGTCCATTTCTCAACTCGCTCTGCAGAAAGAAGAAGAGCTGTAAAGCGGAGCAGACTAAAGTAAAGCCACCCGGAGCCAGTATAATGGTCACACTGCCCCCTGCTGGCGAACCCCACAATTACTCCTGATACCCATCTAAAATGCTTTA